ATGTTGACCTTGGCAAGAATCTTCGTCAGTGCATACATTGTGGACGGACTAATCACATCTCTAAGAAGTGTTGGGAGAAGTTTGGTAGACCTGCATGGGCCAAGATTGCTGATACTACACCTACCTCTGTTGCTTCTCCTACTACTACTGCTCCCTCCACTATTCAGATTTCTCATGCTGAGTATGACCGATTGCGTCAACTCGATCTCTCTCAGAACAATTATTCTGCTACTCATGCATCCTCTTCAAGTATGGATGCCTACATTGCCTCTCCTCATAGACCATGGGTATTAGATTCTGGCGCTTCTTCTCATATGACGGGTCTTAAGGACCACTTTATTTCCTTAAACCTTTCTGACAATTTTCCATCGGTCCGGATCGCTGATGGGACATACTCTCCAGTTCTTGGTGATGGAGTAGTTCATGCTACTTCATCGCTTACTCTTACTGATGTTTTATATCTTCCCAAATTTCCTGTTAGTTTACTTTCCATCAGTCAATTCACAAAACACAACAACTGCAAAGTCACATTTTTCCCTTCTCATTGTGTTTTTCAGGACCTAGCAACTGGAATGACGATTGGTTCGGGGCATGAGAGAGGAGGCAATCGTATTGATAAACGCAGCAGTTCTGCATTCGAGTTAGTCCATTCTGATGTTTGGGGTCCATGTCGTATACCTTCCGTGAACGGTTACAGATATTTTCTTGTCTTTATTGATGACTTCTCTCGCATGACTTGGCTTTATCTTTTAAAAGAGAGATCTGAGGTTTCCACCATTTTCGAAATATTTTATAAAGAAATCAAAAACCAATTTTCCACCTCTATTCGTATCCTTCGTACTGATAATGCTTTGGAATACATGAAACATGACCTCTCTCGTTTTTGTGCAAATATTGGTATTATCCACCAAACATCATGTTCTCACACTTCACAACAAAATGGAGTTGCTGAAAGGAAGCATAGACACATTTTAGACGTTGCTAGAACCCTGATGGTGCATATGAATGTACCAAAGTATTTGTGGTCTGATGCGGTCCTCAGTGCATGTTTCCTGATCAATAGGATGCCCTCTCCTGTTATTAATGGTAAAATACCATTCACCTGCCTTTATCCTGACAGAAGGCCTTTCCCTGTGATTCCTCGAGTTTTTGGTTGTACTTGCTTTGTTCAGGATTTGTCTCCTGGACTGGATAAACTGTCTCCACGGTCTATTAAGTGTGTCTTTGTAGGCTACTCGCGTACTCAAAAAGGGTATCGATGTTATAATCCATCCACCAGGAAATATTTTGTGTTTGCCGATGTAACCTTTTTTGAGTCGATTCCATACTTCTCCTTGACTGGTTCACCCCCAACTGTCAGTCCATCTGTGCCCCTTCCGTCTATTGCTCCTACTGCTGTTCCACTACCTGTTTCAGTTCCTACTGCTGATGGATCTTCTCCAGGACTACAAAATGCTTCCACTATGCCATCTGCACCACCACCTCTACTGACTTATTGTCGTCGTTCAAAAGTTCCTGTCTCTCTCTCTGCTCCAGCCGAACATTCATCTCCCGTTGCAAGTCTGCCTCCTTCTACTCCTTCTGATCTAGATATTCCAATTGCTCAGCGAAAAGGTAAACGGTCTTGTACTAATCATCCTATATCTGATTTTGTTTCCTATGACCGTCTTACTCCCTCTTCTCGTCAGTTTGCTTTGTCCTTGTCCTCTATATCTCTACCCAGGTCATATGAGGAGGCCGTATTAGATCCTGCTTGGAAACATGCCATGGATGAGGAGATGGATACACTTGTTTCTAGAGGGACTTGGAATCTTGTATCTTCTCCAACGGGCGCTACTGTAGTTGGCTGTCGGTGGGTTTATACCTTGAAGTATCATACCGATGGTTCAATTGATCGTTATAAAGCTCGTCTTGTTGCTAAGGGATATACTCAAACCTATGGGATCGATTATCTTGAGACGTTCTCCCCCGTAGCCCGTCTCAATTTCATTCGCCTACTTTTCTCAATGGCTGTTAATCTGGACTGGACAATGTTTCAACTGGATGTCAAAAATGCCTTTCTGTATGGTGACTTGCAGGAGGAAGTCTATATGGAGCAACCTCCAGGGTATGTTGCTCAGGGGGAGAATACGGTCTGCAAGCTTAAAAAGGCAATTTATGGTCTCAAACAGAGTCCACGGGCATGGTTTGAGAAATTTAGTACTGCTATATCTGGTGTCGGTTTCAAACGATGTCAGTCTGATCACTCCGTCTTTATCCGGCGCACTACATCTGGTCTGGTGGTTCTGGCAGTATATGTTGATGACATCCTGCTAACTGGGAGTGACCTTGTTGTCATAGCAGAGACTAAGGAGTATCTTTCACGTCACTTTGTGACCAAAGATATGGGAAAACCCAAATACTTTCTTGGGATTGAGATTGCATATCAAAAGGATCGTTTACTTCTATCTCAAAGGAAATATGTATTGGACCTTTTAGAAGAAATGGGCCTTTTGGGGTGTAAGCCAGCAAACACTCCCATGGAAGTGAATGTGGACTTGTGGCGTGATAATAGTCCTCTCCTAGATGATGCAGGCCGATATCGAAGATTGATTGGCAAGTTGATCTATCTTACTGTGACCAGACCTGATATCACCTTTGCAGTGGGAGTATTGAGCAGGTTTATGCATATACCTAGAGAGGTTCACTGGACTGCTGCTCTAAGAATTTTGGCTTATGTTAAAAGCTGTCCGGGAAAAGGATTACTGTATAAGAAACATGGACATTTACACATCTCTGCCTATTCTGATGCTGGGTATGCGGGAGATATAGGAGATAGAAAGTCTACTTCTGGATTTTGCACCTTTATTGGAGGAAATCTGGTTACTTGGAGGAGCAAGAAACAAGATGTAGTATCTCGATCTAGTGCAGAAGCAGAATACAGGGCTATGGCTCATACTGTTTGTGAGATGATATGGCTACAGAAGCTGCTGACCGAGCTTGGCTTTTCGCAGCCTGGATCTATGCCTATGCATTGTGATAATCAATCTGCTATCCACATTGCAAAGAATCCAGTGTTTCATGAGAGAACTAAGCACATTGAAGTTGATTGTAATTTTGTCAGAGATGCTTGAGAAAAGAAAGTGATATCTTTTCAGTTCACTCCATCTTCGGAACAGTTAGCTGACATTCTCACTAAAGCTACTTCACCTAATGTGTTTTCCATTCTATGTAACAAGCTGGGCATGATTGATATATATGCTCCAGCTTGAGGGGGAGTGTTAGAATTAGTTCTTGGGTTATCGGGTTAGGGCCCATTAACCCATTAGCCTATTACCCATATGTAACCCTATATATACCCATGGAGATGAATGAAATAAAAATGACTCTCTGATTTTCTCACTTCTAACAGTAGTAATGTGTCACATCCTCATCCACTCACTACACATGTGAATTTGTTCCCACATTTGAATGAGTGGAGGGGGATTTGACACCTCACTACCAAGCATAACCTTTTGTGCTTGGTACCAAGCATACCCATATTTCTCACCCCAGGAATCATATCTTTAAACAGATTGCACAATTTTATAGTGCAACTCTTTTGGACCTTAGGCAACCTGAATTTGACTTTCCATCCATACCACAGTAAAGAAGAGGGTGCTTTTCATTTTAATTTCAGATAAGTTTGCATCTGGCTAAGTAACAGAGTATTTGAGTGGATTGTGAAGACCTACTTACACATGTTTATCATTATACTCTAGACTAAGAAAAGTGTCAATTACTTGCACAAAGGACTCCCCTAGATCTTATGCAGCTCTATCATGATTTGTCATCCATAACATTGCAAAGAAGTGGGTATTTCTCCTCCTAGTTTTAGATAAGTTTTCCCATGTGGCTAGGGAGCAGAGAATTTGAGTGGGTTGTGAAGTCATAGTTTCAAGTACCAACTTACCAATATGATATCACCCATGTAGCTCTTTTCATCTCATGATTCATTTTTTGTTTCCCCTTTTATATATCACTAGTTAAAATACATGTGACAAAAAAAAACTTTTAAATCAAATTCGATCTTATTAACTATCTATTTTAATTTTTTTTATTTATGGGGGTTACCTGCAAAATGCGGGAACTTAATTAGGGGTTCTCTACAATTCCAAAAATTATGGGGGGTTTAGTCTGATTTTGAAAGTTATTGGCGGTTTACTACAAAATGTTGAAAGTTCTTGGGGTTTTAGTGTGATTTTGAAAGTTATTGGGGCTTCACTGCAAAATGCTGAAAGTTCTTGGGAGTTTACTGTAATTTACCAAATTTTAAATATTACCCGTGTTGATTTGTCACTGGCAGGAAAATTCTCCGGATTTGTAAATTTACCCTAAACATCAGTTAACCCTAAAACCTCAAAGTAGAAAGAGATTCCATCAGTCCTTCAATCTTTCTATATCGGCAATGTTTTCATTATAATGTAGTATAGATCACATGTAGGTTTGTAATACTTTTCAGAACTAAGACTCAGTAGTCTTCTTCGCTTTTGTAATCGATGGTTATAACTAGTTTAAAAGCTTAATAAACAGAACTTATAGCAAGTTACCCATGCCTTGAGAATTTCAGATGAGTTGCTATTAAGAATATGAGTTAGGATACAGGAAGCAAAACAGAACAGACTTTGATGACCCTATACACACTAATTCAGCTGCCTAGTCACTTGGGAAGAAGTTTTGTCAGGTTAAGTTAGACCTCAATTAATCATAAAAGTCAACTCCAGCACCATGATTTTTGTAGAAATAGAAAGAAATGAGCCCATGACATGGGGCGTTTGTTTTTAAAAGTAGAAAGACACATGCCAATAAGGATCCTGCTACAAATACAGAAAGCCTGTTAAGAAATAAATAATAATGTGCAAATGTGTGTGGACTAAGTATATCTATTCTCACACATTAAACAGTTGTGAACCAGAAAGCATGCAACTTGGTAACTGAATTGTTACTTCAGTAACAAATCAACCAGCAGAAAGAAAACTGACCTGTGCGTTTCTAGAAACCCAGTAAAGATCTCCGTCATAATCACTATTTGCCATCTCATCAGCCAAGGACCTTTGCCCTTTTGTAGGGAAGAAAATGGCGTACTTTGCGTTCCCCACGATCTTTTCCATATTCTTGACATACACAGCATTTACAATGTGTACATCTCCGAAGTGCAAACCTGGGTGCTTGAAGACTAGCACTTTTCCAGACACTTGTCCATTTTCTCTGCATTTATGGAAAGCACACAAAATGCAATTGTAAGATTTTTATGGTGCACCAAATAAGCTAAAAAAAATTAGTAACAAGTAAACTGAACATCCAACTGAAAATTTCCCAACATGTGTTGCAAGAAAAGGTAGAAGGATTAGGAATGCATACAGTATGATACAAACTTCATTAGGTTCTAGCGTCCCTGTAGGGTCAGCCGTACCCATCAAATAATAACAATCGTTCACAGGAATTTTTGCTGCCTTAAGGCCATTCCATTCTGCCCGAGTCATCACTGATAACTGATGCTCCAGGTACGGCTCATGGAGTGGTATTCCACAGGCAATCATTCTCGCTACGAGAAAGTCATCCATGTTTCCATGCAAAGATGCAACTTTAAACATAAAAACAATGAATTAGCACAGTAGCATATAAATATAATACATATCAGTATAAATATAGGTTAGATATCAAAGTAGCATATAAATACAGGCTAGGTAACTGCTTCACCCAAAGACTTAGTTAATGAGTTCTCTAGACTAACAATACATATCAAGCGAACATAGGAAGCCCTCTAGCATGAAGATGCAGTTTGAAATATTAATGACGATATTTGAAACTAAAGACGATATTTGAAACTAGGCCCTCGTAAGATTTGGCTCATTGGTACCATCCAGAATACGATTTCACGAAGGAAATCTCAAGCCTATGTATTGAGGACTAACACTGCATATCAAGTGAACCTAAAACTTTTACAGTATACAAGATGGAGTATTCACTCTACCTAATGGGGAATGACAAAATCACCCAACATGCAAATGTTTCTACTGCTTTATTGATCAATAACTTTAATTCAGACGTTACCTCCAAGTGCAGATTTTCTTGACAATTTCGCATCTTTTGCATCCAGGATCGCCTTCCTAGTTAGTTCAAGAAAATACTCTTGGGGGACTCCTCCATAATGAAGCAGCATAATTATCGATTTAGACAAGCGTGACTTCTTGGACAAATTGCTGCATGAAGTGACAAGAATAAGATAATATTAGTGGTCCAACATTCAATTAGCCAAAAACAAACACCAAGAAAATAAAGGATACAGGTTCATGCAAAATAGCATTATGAGATAAAAAAAGGTCTAGACACCCCCAAACATCACCTGAAGTGTACTATTGAACTCGGCGACAAATTCCCTTAGAGACAACTGCGTTGTGAAATTTGCAACATCACATGTCGTCTAGACTAGTAAATAATTCCGTAATCGATTTTCCGATGATGAAAGATGAGAGATTCTTTTTGTTTATTAGTTTAAAGGAATCTTTGCGTTTTAGTTATCTAAATAACGGTTTTTACAAAGGTTTATAAGTTAAAATCTTAAACGGGCTTTAAGTCAAAAGTGGTCAACCCGTTAGTCAACCCATTCAGCCGTGAAACCCTCATACAATGCCTAGATAACCTTGGAGTTTAGAGTTTTTTGATTCCTCACTCATAGGACCAGCCAAACATGGAGGAAGAGTATAGCTTTTCGACATACATTTGTCGGTTTCGATATCATCTTTTCGGTAGAAAAACTCTTAGGCAAGCACCAACTTGTTTCTTTCCACCTTTGATTCTTAAATATGTTTAAATTCTTTATGTTAAATGTAATTTGATCCATCATGATTATTTGCATTCTTTTTTTTATGTATTTTTTGAGTTTACAGCGATATTTTTGGTGAAAAATATGCACATATTTGATTTGAACCTTATTGTTTCAGAAATTTGATGAAAATTAGTTGATCACATTTATATTATGTTAGTTTTGATGGTAATATATGCTATATTTCATTTTACATGAAAATAACAAGTTTTGACAATGTTTCGGAAAGTTTTACCAAAACTCTAGACAAAAAATCTTGTTCTAATCGAATTATCGACCATGATATGTGTTATAAGTATGTATATTCGTGATTTCATATTTAAAAAAATTTAGAAAAGTACCCCTAAGATTGACACAAGAAAGATACAACAAAACCATACATTCAAATCTACAAAATCTGCTAAAAACTCCATATTCATACGTCTGGTTATATTTTTTAGACCTCTGGCTCACGTTTCAGATGTCTGGGCAAAATTTCAAACATCACTATATTGCTTTTCTGAAAGTTGAGTTTTTTTTGTTCGAAGATCAAATGCCTGGTCCAAATCGTCAAATGTCTGGTCCACAATTCAAACGTCTGGTGAGATAATTCATACGCTTGAAAACCTACACAGGCTGTTTTGTTTTGTTTTACGAGTCATTTCATCCTGTAACTTTTTCGTATGATTTCCATTGATGTGAAACTCTGTGAACACTTTTGTTACTTTGTATTAGGTCTGTTCAAAGTTTTATTTAGTAGTTTTATAGTTATGTTTTGATAATTATTCGATTGAACCAAAAAAGTCCGAAAATACAGTTTTTCCTTGAATTTGAGTTTTAGCCCAAACTCAACACCAAGTTATTATCAATATGAAAATGAGTTTCTTCCCAATGATATGAGCCATATTTTAAGATGACTCTTGTGATAATAGTTTAACTATGGATGATGATAATTATACCCTTTTGATTACAAATGCAACCCACAGGAATTAGGAGTTTAAATATCAGACGTTTGCCTCGATCAACATGGTAAGCTTTTATCTAAGATGGTAATGCGTGCAAGAGGTGCAAACTTTCTACCTACGGGATTGTGGATATGATACTTTGAGAAGAGATAACATCGTCGAATAGTTAAGGCTTGATTTTACCGAACTCTTAGAATTTGTAAGTTACACATTGAGCATTAAGTGACGATGAATAGAGTGAGCTTTTTGTGTTTAATTTCTCACTCAATAGTTAGTCATGCAATGTAGAAAAGCTGAGATTAGATAATATCGTGTGTAATCGCCTTAAAATGAGTTGATATGAAAATATTGGGTTTAATTGGG